TATAAAATAAGAAGTCAAACAAAGTTCTGTATCTGTCTCAAAATAAAATATTTATTGTAATAGTACTTTCGACCATAGGTCATCATCAGGTACTGATAGGATAGTGGAATGGTTACAGGGTTATATAGAGAACATATACAAAAGAAGCGGTGGTATCGGTAAAGCCTAAACGGCGGTACTGACATCATAATGAAACAATGAACATAGTAAGACAATACAAACAGCTACGCCTAGAAGGCGTGTAATGACATAGGTCTATCCTTTTCTGTATATCCTTTTCTTTCAAACGTTGTTTTTGTATACCCTGGACCTCAGGGAAGAACATACTAATACTGAGTTTTCAGAGCAAAGAAAGATTTCTATCTACGTAACTACCTCTGACTCCACCGTGCTCCAAAATACACATTATTTTGTTTTGTATTAATGGAATTTAAAATAAATATAAAACAAAACTTACAGATCCTGTGTTTGTCCAGCTTGACAAGGCTCTGCAACCTGTTGCTTTAAGCTACTGGCTTCATAGTAGGCAGAGGGTAACAACACAAGGTAATCCTAAAAACCAAGAGTGAATCTTCAGATTGAAAATTATGCTTAGTAGTTATACTTAAATAGGTGATAGGGAAAACTGTCTCCATTTAGTTACCCTAATGATAGTACCTTTTTACCCTGTTGCGTGGTGTGCAATCTCTAGGCGGAATTGCTATATAATTTACGGCATGCACGAACAGCATGCACAAACAGTAAAACTTCTACAACGCTGACAAAGATTGACCCTTTGGTAATATAAGATCATGCAGACTCCAAAAAGACTAAGAGAAGTCGTAGTGATTCAATGGTGTTTGAATAAAGAATGAAACACTAAAATCACTATGGCTTTTCTCAGTCTTTTTGGAGTCTGCATGATCTTATATTATCTAAAAATATAATCATTGGACCACTTGATTTTTGACCATTTGATCACTTTGCTACCTTACCAGAAGAAGACCTCCAGTAGCCTCAATGGTTGCAAACCATCGTCCAGGATTTAGAACAAATGGTGATATGATGTTACCGCCCTCTACAGTCACAAGTTGTGGCCCAGCTCCAGGCAGAAATAGAACAGGATGGACTTGTTCTGAACCTTCAATTAAAATACAGAAACAATTTAATTAGTGATAATTAAATATACAATTCCCAAGGTGGGGGAAAAGTTACTGTATGTGCTTTAACAAGATAGCTCCAAGACAAGTGCACAGTCCACTAAGAGCAAATAAAATTTGTCATTAACAATTCCAACCATCATTAAGACAACTTATGAAGATAAAGTAAATTTAGAATTTAGTGATGAACAGGGGTTTAGCCAGAAAAACGAAACAGGTCATCCAAAATGGAAGCCAGTAGGCGTGGCCCTGTGCTGATGGGCAGACCACGCCCCCTCCCAAACATAAGAAAATGTTTCTAGGCTATGCGATGGTCTTCATCTCTCACCTTAGTTTAGTGTAATTCTACTCTAGGTCCTCCAAATCAAGAGATAGGCCTAGACCTACTATATTTTGATGACTAATAAAATTTAACTTGTGCTGTTAACAACAAATCTTTATGGTATTTCATTAATTAATTTTAACCATAGAGTTATACCAACACTAACAATATTATGTTGGAGAACATCTCCAAAAAAACTGACAGCAGTTGAATTGAATTTAGAACCAAAAACCTCAACAGTATTACAAATATAGTAACTAAACTAGTTTACCTAACTGCTGCTCTGATTTATAAAATATTTTATTCAACAAAATAAGATGTAAACACCATCACGTATTATGTGTCAAATGTGTTTTTTTTGCCAATTTATGGACATGGTGATACCTAACTAAACCCAAATGGGTAAAAAGACAACTTATTTGCCACATACAATGTTATAGGTGGCCAGAGCTTTCTGTTCAATGACAATATATTTAGATAAGACACATTTTATACCTATACTCGGATCACTTGGTGAAAGTTTGATACTTCCTCGGACTATGTCAGCCCCTGTATGCACATAACATAAGATTATGCGGTAGAGTACATGAGTAACAACATCTACTGTCACAATAACAGAAGGCTGAGGAAAACAAATATATTTCAATAAGTAAACACAGAAATAAACAGTATCATCAAACAACAAAAACAAATGGCAATAATAATGACTATACCAAAGTGTTGAGTGCTTAATAATGACTATACCAAAGTGTTGAGTGCTTTTTAACGATACCAAAGTGTTGAGTGCTTAAATATGACTATACCAAAGTGTTGAGTGCTTAAACTGTAACCGTCGAAACTGCTGAGCACACATATTATCAAGGAAATAAGTACAATATCAATCAATGTTGATAGATATATAAATTAATTAAAAACTGTTAACACAAACCTGAGTACTCTCCGACATGATAGCGTAACCTAAGTAGGAAAAGTTACTAAAAACCATCTCATCGTAACCAATGCGTACACGACCGCCGTTTGTAGATCGACCTTCCTCAATCTCAAACCGAAACTGGTAGAGGTCATAAAAGAAATGAGCACTCTCAGGTCTGTAAGATACATAGTGATTTTACTGACATTTTATTACAAAAATTCTGAACTGATTACCAATAACTGAAAGCATCTTTAGAAACATGATGGAAATGGCATAATTTTGTGGGGAACCAGGTTTTAATAATTTTTTAATTGAAAAAAAAAGCTAAATAGAGTTCCTAGAATTTCAAATATTGAATTTTATTTATTTTTATTATCTCTACTTGACAGTACACCTTCAAATCACATGAATTCAAAATATTATAGTAATTTATTTAAATGAATAATTAATATCAAACCGCAGTATGGGGATACGAGGGGGTATCCCCATACTGCGGTTTGGGTGCTGGCTTGGATTTTCTTTTTTTTTAATTTTCCAATTACATTTACTCACTTGTTCTGCGCATAGACTCTTGTATTTTACGCAATATAAATGAATAACCTTTAACCTAATATTTACGTACTCATCACATCTATTGCCCCTGATTCTCGGACGACACGTACACTTGCCAGTTGACTTATCACACAAGTTATTAATAGCACCCCCAACATCACATTCACAAGCTGTGGAGAGGAATGAAATTATACAGATGGCAAGAAATAAATTATACACTAACCAGGCTTCAAATGTATGTATGTATGTATGTACTTATACACATCTGCAAGGACATAACATGGTAGTTTGTGCCTTCCTTTATAATTCTTTCCCTTTAAAATATTAGACTTTTTCTCATCATTACTGAATATATCCTTGCAAAGCCTGATTGAATGTAACAAGAAAATAGACATACCTTTGCATCCAAATACATCACTACCAGTGAGTTCATATGACTGGTCTTGGCATTCTGTGCACTGCCTTCCAGTTACCAATGTCTTACATCGACACTGTCCTGACACCTGTGAATTCAAATTCAAATTAAACTTTATTGCAATCGAACATACATAGTGATTAGGTAAGACAATTTACAGTAGAAGAAAAGATAAAAACATTCAAAATACAAGACAAACACCAATATTTATGTGGAAAAACATCAAAAATGTACATTAATAAATCTCATGCTTCAAATAGGACTAAAATAAGGTCAATATTCAACATCACAATAAAAATATAAAATTTAAATTGCTCTTAATGTGGTCAATAAGAGAACATCAAAAATGTACATCAAGAGAGGGAGAAAAAAATCTAAGATCAAAAAAGACCATAATTATTTGCAAAATTCCCATTAATAAAAAATACATAAAAAATTGTTATTTAATAATTTTAATTAGAAAAAGCATCAATTAAGAAAAGATAAAAATCATCATTATAATTAGCAATTGAGATAAAAATTCAAATTGCCATTAAAAAAATCATTCAAAAAGGTTTATTGCAAAAAGCCCATCTATAAAAAATTACATAAAAAATGGTCATTTAATTACAAAAAATTTCAATTAAGAAAAGAAATTAATCATAATTAACCAAAATTAATCATAAATTATAACATAATAGCATAGCGTTGTCAACAGGTATATTCTCGTTTTCTGGTTTGCATTCTCACATGACACTGCCTCAGTTGATATTTCCAATTACCCAGATTTAGTCATATTCAGGGCTAGTATTATAACTTCATTTATTACAGAAACACTTCTGTGTTAAATTTGGCCTATAGGATATCTCCCTTCCCATGAACCTGGTTACAGGCCTGTGTATATGGCAGAGTTGTATCCCATTCCTGTGTAACCAGGTGGAGGTAACAAAGTGAGCAGGATATAGGCAGATGGTGATTCCTATGAATTACTGCATGAATTTGTATAATGTTTAAGTTTAATTTCATATATTTCTCAAAAATATTAAAATTTACAATAAAAGAAACAGAAAGGAACAAGCACAAACAAAAATGAGACGGGACACTCCAAAATGAACTAAATCACTGTCTAGTGGGGCCCTTTACAAAAAACAAATGCTTACAATATAAAATTGGTAAAATCTGTAAAACAAGCATAAATAACATATGTGGCAAAGACAAGCCAAACCAGTCACTCATTGCATATCCTGTTTCAGAAATAATGGCCAAAACATGATGGAATGTCAACATTTTTGAAATCTATTTATATATAAATAAATAAATAAATAAAATAAAATATCATGCTATGCTGTTACTTTCCTCATTTTCAATGTTACAACAACAATTTTAATGATTTGGTGATGGTTTCTGCCTGAGAAATGCCCAAAATCATAAACTTTCAAGGCTGATTTCTCAAATATTGTTCTTTAAATTGCTGTATGTTTCAAATCTTGTAACTTCATAATGAAATGTCAGATTTTCATGATTCTTTTACCATTTTACAGCCCTCATTGTACTACTTAAGTAATAACTAAAAATTGATTTTTGCGACAAGTGACTAGTTTGGCTTGTCTTTGCCACATATGACATAAGTATAATTAGATCAATTAATATTAGGAATGGATCATGTCAGCCTCTTGATGTAAAGGTATGCAAACCACTGGTCTTATCATCTTTCTCATTGTCTTTTCACCTTTAGATGATGATAGCTACAGTATATTGTATATATCTGAAATTTAACAACAATAAGGTAAGGTAAGGTAGTCCCGTATTCATTAATTAATGTAGAAATGAGTAGTTAGGAGCTTATAGTTCTAAGCTTTGACAGTGTAGGGTTGGGTGGCCAGATTCTTTATCAGGTAGGGCTAAACATGTCTTGGCTTATAGGACCCCCTCCCTAATGAATCTACCCTGGCTATGGGCCTAGATTTAACGTACTGCTTTGCAGACTTGACTGGTTGAGATGGTGCCAGGTGTGTAGCAGTTGCACTCTTCACATCCATTCGTGTTTGTTAGTTGCAGATTCCAGTAAAGTTCCTTACATTCATCACATGACCTGCCAGTCACATGATCCTTACAAATACAGGCTCCCTTGAAAAAACAAATTTAAAAAATCTAAAATCATGAAGTTGTTCAATCGGTATTTAAACAGAGTTAAAACACACCTTTTTCTATCTTGGTATTTTTTTCCCCTATATTTTTGATAGGCTATTTAGTTTCCCAACACCATTCTGTGAGTTGTGATCTTGCCAACTGCTGCTTAATTGCCAGTGGTCTAAAATTGCAGGAAAAGATCGCAATGGTGTTGGCCCTTCTGCAATAGTCTGTTTCTTATGATAGATTTGTTGTTTCTTAGTCAATTATTTTTTGTGCTATTGCGCTTAGATACCATGTACTTTGCACTATACAAGTCTCTAACCATTACCATTACCATTCTTCCATTTATTGTTTATTTAGACACATATGTATATTGTATGAAGTACTGTAACATACTAAACAATAACAAAAATACAGTGTTATTAACAGTAATGTTAAATTGTTAACACTAAATATTATGAACACAAACAACTATGGCAGGCCATTCGTGCCAATAATCATGGACACTACAGTTATCAACTTTTAATTCACATATCACTGGATACAAAGACTAGAATAAGATATTATTTAAATGTAATAATTTAAACAATGTAATGTTATACACACAATTTCTATGAATTAAGACTTGCATTAATATGAAATTTAAATAACAAGCATGGTTGTGAATTATTACAATAAATTTATTCAGACTCAAAGAATATAATTTATTTGCATGAAAGTATGTATTTTTGATGACAATAAAGCATGTTTGGGGAATACGATTTAAAAATCTATTCCTTGGGCCCTAAATGAAACTAGACTTTCCTCCATTCAAATATATACACATATTTATAACTAGAAAAATTGTCACTCCCCTCTATTACCCCTTTCCATTCACACCTCATCCCTTTAAATTCACACCACATCCCTTTCACAACCCATCCAATTCACACCTCACCCCTTTAGATTCACACTACATCCCTTTCACAACCCATCATCTACAAAAATTCTGTACGCACAATCACTTCAAATTTTCCAATCACATTCACACCTCACTAATAATGGAAGCAAAGAATATAATAGATGAAGAGAGCCAACTACGCACATTGAGAGCATAAACAAATGACGCGCCAAACGCAGCCAGTGGAGGATGCTCGCTGCTAATGGATTTACTCAGTACTGCACTGCAAAATGGTTTGTTTGTCTTTCTATCTGTTTTCCACAAGCAATACTTTTGTCGAGGGCGATAGATTTCCTTATTTTTTTAAATCACCATACTATCGAAGCAGGCGCACTTCCTTTGAACTCATACATAGTGGGCATACTCCATAACGATGATGGTGATTTCCATCGTAACTAGGAGAGTGACACATTTACAAACAGGAGTAAACTATCTTGTTCTATATACTCTTTTTTGACAGTCTTAAAAGATTGTCATTAAAAATGATCCATTGCGTGTGCACCGTTGCATTGCGTTCTCCATAGAATCGCATCGGCCAACGACCGTTGGACACAGGGAGTGTCTGGCTTCAGGTATAAACTTTAATGAATCTTTTATGTGACAAAAAAAAAACAACATTCTGATAGAAAACAAAGCAATGAATGATGACATTCTATATACCACAAAGCGAAATCATCTAAATGTGAATTTGGGAAGTTGAAACCTATTAAAATGAAAACTAATGAAACTACTGTACAGGAAGAAAGAAAGAGAATGAAATGATGAACTAAGATGATAACCAGCTGATCGGAAGCAATGCAGATGATGAACGATAACAGAAATACTCCTTCCACTTACATTAGTCTCTGCACCACAGCCACCAATTGGCTGGCCCTGTAGTTGTTTCTGAACCCCTGCTGGGGCACAGTTACATTCTAACAAAATAAATCCATATCCATAGAATGCTTAAAAATGACAATTCTGATTAAATGAATATTTTTTGTTGGGTGTTTAGGCAATATTATTAAAAACCTCTAATATATATTGAAAGACAGAGGTGTACCTCATACCAAATCTATTTATTATATTTTTTATTTCAACAATTCTTTGTGAGGGTGGTCCCTCTAGCCAGAGCTGATCAATTGAGACCCTCAGTACATACAAGAAAAGACAACAGAATAAAAAATGAAATTACACAAGATATTTAAATTAAGCCTAGACCTACCTTCACATGATGGGAAATTATAGAAGCCGAGAGCACACTGCTTACAGTCCCGTCCAATGTAGTTTCTATAGCAACGACATTGTCCTGTCACCTGATCACAGTTTTGCTGGACTGATCCTTGCTGATCACACTCACAAGCTGTCAAATATCACTCAAATATTTTAATAAAATATCTGTGTGTTTAATATAATTTTGTTATTATAATGGGCTCTTCTTTTAGAAATGTTGCAGTTATGTAAAATTATTTCTCATTAAAATAAAAATAACATTTTTTTTCAAAATAAAGAGGGGCCCTATATGGTTTAATATTGCTCAGTGGTTATAATAACAAAATTCTGGGAAAATGCAAATGAGTTTTACTGTTAGCATTTTAAGTTTATTTTATTTTTAATACATATAATTCCCGGATGATGCATAAAACTAAACAAAATGCGCAACCTCCTCCAACCCTGTAGAAGTACCAACTAATTATGACATAAATCTTTACAAAATACAGTATTGTTAATTTAACCCTTACCAATGCATTCTGGGTAGCGATAAAATGCTGGGGAGCAGGAATCACATTTTATGCCACTGTAGTTGGGTAAACACTGGCATTGACCATTCCCATAACACTGCAGCACATTACCAGTACCAATGCTATTACAGTTGCAAGCTTAATAAAATAATAAAAAAAACACCATGTAGTAAATTAAGAGAAGAGAGTGACTCAAATAGAAAACAAAGAATGTAATAAATATGTTCTGTCTAAACTCCTACATATCAGTATTAAGTTCTACTAGCACACATTCTATTTAATAAGTAATTTTAATATCTTGATGTTTTATTGGTTGTTATTTTAATTTCTTTTCCTTGTGGTTACTAAGTACTAAATCATTGGCACATTCTTGAATACTAATATTTACTCAACGTTCCAGTTGCTTAATCTACATCCTATAAATGGATCTAAACTGTACATCCAGTTTACACAACTGGCTTGTGTACTAAAAACCATCCATAGAAAGAAGTACAGGCTAGCCAGTATACTGATCACATGACCCCTGCGGTTGTGGACTGAGCCAAGAGAGCACTTACAGCTGCTACAGACAAAAAGTGATCCATAATGGAGAACAAATTTCATTGACTCCTCTGTTCAATTTACAATAGTAAAGCTGCAAGTCAAAGCTTGCTTTCATCCACTCTTGTGGGCAACTTATCCAGTAAAGCGCGAGTCACAAGTTACTCAGTTTTTCTCTTCTGAATTAAAAACCAAAACATCAGAATATGTGCAGGTTATCATATAATAATAGGAAAAGTCAAACTTTAAAACTGAACTTACGATTACAGTTTGGAAAATCAAAGTATCCACTTGCACACTGATCACAATACGCTCCTGCAAAATTGTCCTTACATTCACACCTGCCTTGGTTTGTATCGCAGACAGCGCCCTCAGTGCCTTCAGAATGGCAGTTACAATCTTCAATAAAGTAATTCATTTATCAATCTGGTTTTCAGTGTATTATCATAGCAGTAACTGTTGCTATTTGCTTCAAGGGCACATTTAAGTTCAAGTTTTAGCTGTTGAAGTCACCCTAATGATCTAGTTTAAATTAAAGACGCATACTTGTAGGATGGCCACTTTAAAAAAACATTTTGAACGAATTGATAAAATCTGACAACTATTAAACTAACTGTAACATTAATAAAAAACAATAAGTTACCTTACCACTTTAATATTTAATACCACTTGGTATAAATCACATTTAATACCACTAGGTATAAATCAACATTGTTTATTACAAATAATTAATAAATAAACTGATACCAATTAATGGATACCATTAGTGGATAGTATTGCGATACCAGATAGCATAAATTAATTGAAAGCAATTGGAGTAAAATAATTAATACCAACTGGTATAATTTATATAACAATTGGTGGAAATTGATTATTTTGATACATATCAATACCAATTGATAGAAATTTATAGTAACTGATAGCATTTGATTAAAATTAATAATAATAATAATAATAATAATAATAATAATAATAATAATAATAATAATAATAATAATAATAATAGATGGATAATAGCGCAAATAAACGAGGTCTATATGTGCTTGACAATATTGAAGTCAAGAAAACAAAGAAAAAAGCCGGGAAAAAAAACAAAACAATAAACACCCAGCTAGCACCCAAACCGAAGTATGGGTTTACACCATCACCGCCAATACAAACAATGCAGCTGAAATATCCTAAAACTTACCTAGACAATTTGGGTAACTGTAGAAACCTTGGGCACATTCATCGCAAGCTCTCCCTGCATAGTTGACACGGCAACGGCATTGGCCAGTACTTGCTTCGCAAGCAGCATCTAACAGACCATATATACTACACTCACAAGCTGGAGAAGAATTTAAATATATTAATTATGTTTCAGGCATTTGCACCCTATGTGAAAATGGAGAAATTGAAGATGTCAAGCATTTTTTACTAAATTGTCCTGCTTATAATACCATTAGAAAAAAAACATTTAACAAATCTTGAAAATGACCTTCTACTCTGTAACGATTATGATACATGGACACTTTCTTCAACAACAATGATGAAATTAAACTTCAATATGTTTTAGGAGGAGATTCAGTCTTTATTTGTGATGAATCTACCTCTATTTTTGATAATTTCTGTAAAAAATACATCATTAATGCTTGGGAGAAACGCTCACAACTAAATAAATTATTAAGGTCTCCCTTCAGTTAAAGACCACTTGGGAACCGGGGTGTTTTAGTGGTCTTTAGCAGCTTCAGTCTCTAATTAGAATTCCTCTAATTAAAGACCAGCACTAAAAGGGAAAATATCTCTATTTAGAGGAAAATTAGGAAATCATAAATTAAATGTAAGATTATTATTATTCCAAATGTTTAGAATGGATGTACAGTTACTGTTTCTGATTCTTATTAAACAATTTCTCGGTAGTCACACATCAAGACCTGCAATCTCCATTACTATACTAACAACACGTCCATCGTACTAAAACTATCAGTATAGGCCTATTCAATATAGGCACTGTATTCAATATAGAGCACTGTATACACAAAACATATTATGTTGTTATTTTAATGTATATAGTCATATCACCTTTTTTTAAAACTGGATTAAAATCACTATATATTTTAATGTATTTTTTTAGGGAAAAATTGCATTTGGTATGAGATATTACACTATGTTTGAATATTTCATTCCAAGTGTTGTAGAATGGATTATTGCATGCTGTTACTGATTCCTAATAAACCATTTCCTGGTAGCCACTCATCAAGTCTTGCACTCATTCTACAAAAATAATCCTACTACCACTATCGGTATTCAATATGCCTAGTATACACAAAGTATCAGCATTTTAAAATATTAATTTTTATGTCTATAGACTATAAAAGACTGCACTAAAATTATTATATATTTTAAAAGTAGTCTTTTTGAAGAAAAATTTGTCAGTTTGTTCTGCGACAACCATGGCCTTTCATGTCCAATAGAATCCTTATAATTAAAAACTGGCACTAAATGTGATCCTTAGATTATTCTCTTCAAACAACATGCTGTTATTTATTCTTAATTAAGGATTTCTTGGTATCCAGACTTTTAGTCAAGATAGGTATTCAAATGGGGCTGCAGAAATGTGGTCTTTAACTGGAGGTGGTCTTTAATTGGAAGGAGACATGTATTTGGATTTGTAATTATGTAGTGTAATTTTATTCCAATCTAAAGGCAGTGTTATAATTATTATTAGTAGTAGTATTGTCAGCACTAATATGGCATAGGCCCTATCATTTAAGTCCTTCCACCACTGGCAATTTAATCCACATTGTTGTAACTGCAGTTCTTAAATAACTGTGGTTTAAAAGCATACTCGTTCCCCTATTCGCTAAAAAACTGAGCAATTCCGAAGAAGCCCAATACCTTATTTTATAAGACTTATGAATAAGTAGGCATGTATTTTTAATATACAAGCAAATGAACTGATAAATTAAATTACAAAACGACTTAATTAATCCAATTAAATCTCAATACTGACAACTATGAGTGATGTCAGAATTAGCTCAGGTGTTGATGTGATCAATGGTGTTTTGTTTTGTTTTTGTCCATGGTTTTGTGATGTCACATTTTTATGTATTCTATATTTTCTGCTCAGGCAATGTAAATAGTGTGCAATTTAGATTTGTCTACAATATATTATACTGCCTTTTCTTATAATTTTTCGTTTTTAATGATATTGACATGTTAATAATAATAAATATTAATTAATTGATAATTAATATATAGATAATTTAAGTTCAACTTCTGCATTTCAATAATTACATAAAAATCCTTATTTTTAATAATATCGATGGTAATTTATTTGAAGAACTACTGATGTTCGCATACGGTTAGTGTGACAGATACGTCATCATTTTTGACGGCATACATGCATACCTTACTACACGTAAGTGAAAAATGCATAGGAAAAAGGATTTCTAGTAGGATCTTCGAGTTTTTTTCACATTTTACAGTAATTGAGAAAAATAAATGTATCTTTGAATACGTACGTGCCATTTTTGTGACATTTGAAGACAGAAAATTATGATAGGATGCATCTCATTTTGGGGTATCAAAACGTCGGTGCTTGGACTTTAGTGGTGTCAGGATTTAGGCCTAGTTCGCTTGCAAAACCTCTCTAATAATTTTTAAATTACAATTGTTTGTTAATGATGTCAGTGACAATAATTTTCTATAATGATAACGATAATTTAAATAATTAGTTTTCTGCTTTATGTTTTTTCTGAATGAATAAAATCCATGAACAAATGATGGTTCACATATTCCCCCGAGACCAAGTTAGAATCCTAAACAAACTTACACAAACAATATGGGAAGTTGTAGTACATTGGAGCACACTTGTCACAGTTGCGATCACGAAAGTTTTGTTTACATTGGCACTGGCCTCCTTGTGCCTGGCATTCAGCATTTATGGTACCATTTACATTACACCTGCATTCTTTAGAAAAAAAAATTAAAAAACAATAACTAATCAATCAATTTACATCAACAATTATCTTATGTGGTGCTCCTAAATTGAATTAAGAAACGATTTTTTTTTAAATTATTATTATTGGCACATTTTCGTGAACAAGGCTTTCAAATCAAGTTTAAATCATCAACAAAAAAAGGTTTACTGTATTCATATTACCAGTCTAAAACAAGAATCAGAATTTGAATGCAAGATACTCATTTTTAGCTAGGTTTCTGATTTATAAATCTTTGATGTATTTTGAGAGTTTATAGTAGATGATAAATTTATTAATAAAATTAAAATAATAGGAATATAAAACATTCTCAAAGAAATATTTCAATACCTTTGCATTCTGGGTACCCATAATATCCAAGGCTGCATTCAGAGCATGAGGTACCAGTAAACTGTGGTTTACATTCACACTGTCCAGTCAGTGAGGCACAGTTGCCAGTGTGGAACACAGATTGACATGTACAGCCTATACATTAAAATATGAGAAGTTAAATAACAAGGTAATACTAGATTTTGCACAACCAAAAAACGAAAACTTACACATTTTTAAAATGGTTAACCTTTCATTATAATGATAATTAGCTAATAAGCATGCATGATAACAATTTCTTATACCTGCAGCTGTGAACTAAGAAATAATCTGCATTAAGTGCCTGCATCACCAAATGTTAACTGTACACTACAGTATTCCAGCAACAAAATGTTAACCCACAACAATTTAAATAAAGTACGGATTTATCAACCACAAACTTTGGAAGGTTAAGAGGAAGAAAAATTGTCTTTTGAGATTAAGATTCATTTAGGATCTAATAAATAAATAAATAAATAAACTCAATCTCAAGAGGAAAACATTAGTACAAATTATTTTTCTAAGATATAATTTAAGATATATTTAAAAACAGGAGAAAAGGGGTCGGTAACTACCATTTTCGCCAGTTTTTAAATATTCAAAAATCTGTATCTCATTATTACTGTTCCTGAGATTTTTTTTTTTAATTATCCTTTTTCTGTCTTAGAAAAATCAGCTGTACAACACACCAAAATATTTTTCCTCTAGAGCCTCACTTTCAGTACTTTTTACATAGGTTTTTATTCATTACCTTGTATTTCAAATTTAGCTGTTGTTTCTTACTCCAGGTCAGAAAAAAACTTCCATAATAAAAAAAACTATAATAAAATATTAGGAAGCCGGCTCAATTAGGAAAAAAAAGTATATGCATTACTTACGTTGACAGATGGATGGAGATGTGAGAGAGGTGTTACGGACTCTGTAGTAACCAGGTTTACACTCGTTACAATTGATACCTGCAGTGTTGTCCTATGATGAACAAATAAAATTATAAGCTCAAACCTCTGTCCTTAAAAAGCATTTTTGCATATTTAAATGACATATAAGGTAATTATAGTTTTACAAATAATTAGCTAAACTCATCACATAGCCAAATTGTTCTGTTAATTTAAATGTTAGGTGTGTATGGGTAAATACAAAGCATCCCGAAACTACAGTACTTTGGGGGAGCTAATCATTACCTTACAATTAATGCAGACTCCACCTCCAGAATAGTTGCCATGGATATCTAGAGATTCTCCTCGATGATCAACATCTTCATCATAGTAGCAGCTTGTAGCATGATTGAAGCAATTACATGCTGCAACAAAAAAAAAAATTAAAATTTTATATTTATACAATACATTACAGTGCCTCACTTTAAAACAAAGTGGGACAAATTTTTAGATTACATCATTATGGGTGGGTCACCCCAGCATGAACATTACAAGGTCCCGGTTCTGAGCTAGTATATGAGTATCAATTGGTATATACCAGTATTTAAAAAAAAAAAATTTTAATAGTATTGTTGGCGCTGATTTGATTGCTTTTCATGATGCTTTTAATATTTTATAGTCACTTGATGCAATTTTAAATATTTTACAATACTTCATATGTTATATACTGAACAGTAGTCCTTTGTTGCAATGGTGGTTACGTTGTTGTATACAGGTACACCTACATGCATTTTGAATGAATATACAAAGATATATAGTTAAAATAAAAGACACATTTTAAATATATATATGAATGTTGTTTTAAATTCAAAGTTTGTTTCCGTGTTTTAATATTTTATAGTTAGTCACTTGATGCACTTTGATATGTGTTACATTCACCTGAATAAACTAGTCTTTTAAGTACTAAATGTTTTTTGAGTTTTATTTTCTATTACTTTATAGGTTATATACTGTACTGTACAGTGGTTGCAATTGTTGAGCACTGCATTGTTGTATACAGGCGCACCTACATGTATTTAGGATGAATATACCAAGATATATAGTTAAATCAAATACACATTTTAAATAAATGAATGTTGTTTTAAAGTTAACATTCATTTCCGTGGTTCCCTTACGTTCACATTCATTGGCAGTCTGAGGTGTTGCTGGTAACCACTTCTTCTGAACAAATCCTGGACAACATTCTTGGCACTCGGAGCCACATGTGTTATGCGAACAGGTGCACATAATGCGGCCAACTTGTTCCGGTACAGATGTATCACAACGGTCGGCATGACCATTGCACAAGCAGCGTCCCCCGATTGAGATGTCCTTGATACTGTAATAATAACGACGTGTGACTGTCGGATCTTGTTGCTGTTTGGCCATGAGGTGGCCATGGAGGGTGTTTGTTTTTATCAATCTTAGGCGGACATTAGTGGCTCTTATGAAATCTTGGAGTATATCTGATGCGTAGAAGTTTTTTGATCCTGGTCGACCATTTATCAAGGAAACAACAATCTGAAACCAAACCAGAGGACGCTATATATATTTCCTTTGACATAACATTCAATAAATTTCCTACAATTATGAAGATGATATCATTTAACTGGAGTATTTTAAATACTTGAAACATTTTAATTTACATTAAATTATTATATACATTTCAAATTTTCCTTAAATTTGCAATAAAGTTATTTTGAATCTTTGAATCATAGGATGTTGTATTAAAGAACATTAGATCTTAGAAGTAAATGAGGCATAGATAACCAATGAGGAAAGCTGGACCAGATTTGTAATCTATAAAAACAATCTAATATTTCTGCTAATGTTAACCTAAACAGAGATCAACCCTCTTCAAATATTGACTCCAATTTCAAGCAGAATAGGTACATGTTTTATCATAAATCTTTACAATTCTTAATACAGTACATATATACATCTAAAATCTGATGAATAATAAATTCAAATTATGAGAGGGAAACAATGGTTTTGCGATTATATCAATGTTTTCCTTGCTTTCCCTTGGTCCTGGTTCAAATCATGATTTTCTCCACAAGACTTGATAGAAAATAGTTTTAGAGCATGGTAACTAATGAAGAAGTGGGTTTCAATTAGAAGTTTCATCACAGTATATCTTTTGAAGAACTTAATATTTTACCTCTCCATCCTCCAAAGGCACGATATCAGAGTAAGAAGTTGTACAAATGACCTGATCATCAGAGGTCAAGTCCTCGGTGGACTCCATGCCAAATGTTTCTCTGCAATCACTGTCCGAATCTGCAAAGTATTGCCAGGGCTCATACGTATTCCCAAAGTCGGTGGATTTTTCGAGAATCCATACACCTGGCCTGGGAGAGTTTGCAAACTTCAGGAGTATGTACGCTACATGGTACGACTGTAGAGAAGGTTGTAAAATATTTTAACTTCACTATGAAAAATTTCTTTTTAATTTATTTAAAATAATATTTCATGTAGGCGAAAAGAGATGGTATATAATTATTTTTTATCTATTATAATTATCTACATGAAATGGTGATTATTAATTCATATTAAACTTTTACTGTATTGTAAACGTACATAAAACCACTGTTACAATGCCTCAATGTACTCTACCTTCTCTGCAACTACTATTTAATTGATGTAACAGTATGATGATATACCTGATGTAACAGTTTCCTTTTCCTGTAATTTATATAGTAATTAAACTGTAATAAAAAAACTAAAGACATAACACACCCACACAATTCTTCCCACTGAGTAAACCTAACTATAAACTTGGAGCCAAATCATGCTTAAAGATGTATTGTCCATTAAAAATGCAAAAAATCATAATAAAGAATTTTAAAATTAACTTGCTCATTTTGCAGTAACATACAAATTATCCATATGAGCATAGAATTATTAAAGTTAAAAAATGTGTACCTTGATTTTTAAGCTGGATAATATAATAAAAGTAATAAAAGTGACTGGAAGTGTTTCTATCATTTTTCACTATAAAATTATGGGCAAACATTTTTTAAATACACTAATTTCTATTCAAGTTGATAATTTTCATGTTACTTCAAAATGGACAAGTTAATTTCAAAAATGATTTTTATGATTTTTTTTGGTATTTTTTCATGGGACAATATATCTTTAATAGTTACTTCAGCTCAGGACCACCTCAATGCCACCTTTTTTTAAATGTGAAGTCAGTGAACTTTAAGCCGACCCAAAGGCAACCTAAATTTGGCAAGCTAAAGTTGGCTCATGGTATCGCAATGCCTGATCAACCAATTTCCATCTCAACGTAAACCGAACCTTCGTCGCCAAGGTCACATTGATAACTGTCAATTTTGACTTCTTATACCATAATATTTCACGCAAAACCTGGTGCATAGGAAGAAGTCTGAATGTTTTGCAGTTAAGACTCGGAGCGGACTTAAAATACTACTGTAACTGTGAACGAACGGTTATTTTTAATTGTCTGCGGTTAAGGTAGCCCTGGGCCAATATAATAAGTGTGATTGGGCTTTTAATTACATTGTCCACATTGGACTGAATTAGGTATTAAAACCATTATTTTTTGGTTGCAGCTACACATAGCACCAAAAAAAAAAACCCCAAAGAAAACAACTATTTTTGGAAATGTTCCTTTATCACCTAGATATAAATAGATATAATAATAGTAATAGTGTGCCAAGAAATTTAACAGGTTGATTTCCTTTTTATTGTAAAAGGCACAAACCTTACTAAAAATAAAAGTACCTGTTATCAAACTTTTTATTTCAATCACTAAACTTGTCTCTTAAATGCGGAACACTGTTTATTGTTTTACAGACTTGTTTGTTTAGCAACTTTGTGTTTCTAAAGTGTTGGTTTACTTTGGGTTTAGAGTTCATTCTAGATGTTTTGTACATATGGTTTGTTTGTTCTATACTTCAGGAATGGCTAGAACTATAAATGTGAAAACATAAAACCAATGAGGCAAGACTCAGGTCACTAGTATTACTCTAAGTCATTCATCAGACATACCTTGTAGCCAATAATATAATAATTTTGGATTTATTTTTTTCAAAATAATATGTCATATATTACATACATAAATAACTATCTGTATTGTCCTTATTGAAATCTAGGGAAAAAACTCTTGAAATATTCTGTAAAAATATGTATTTCATTTTAAAGAAGTTTATTTTTTTCAAAAATAATTTCATTTGACAAGGGTGATTTTATACAATTGACAGCTTGATCTTTATGTTTGGGACCTCTAAGAGCCTCCCAAAAATCCTTACAACTTGGTCCAGCTTTATTTGCAATTATGATTGATTTATCAACCCTTCTTTTACTAATTTTTTGTTTTATTTATCATATGTACGCTTATTCAGATAATTTTTCAATAGAAATTCACTAGTTGCTTCATCTTTGTCATTTCTTTTAAGATACTTCCTGTGTATTTGTGAAGCATTTTTCCTACACTTAATTGCATTATCAATCTCTTTATCAAACCATGGTTTACGTTTTATGTTAATCTCATCCCAATCCCCTTTTCGGCAGCTAAAATAACAATTGATTTCCATGATTCCCAAATTTCATTGACATTTCCAAATTGGTTAATATCCCAATTTTCAAACCTTTTCGAAGTTCACTGCGATAAGTTAAAAAGTGCTGGTCATTATTTATATTCCAAATCATAGGTTTATATTCTGTTTTCCTTTCCCATGAATCTTGAATAACATTAGTATTATTTAGAGTATACTGTATCTGTCTCTTATACACATCTAGATGTGTATAAGAGACAGATACAGTATACTCTAAATAATACTAATGTTATTCAAGATTCATGGGAAAGGAAAACAGAATATAAACCTATGATTTGGAATATAAATAATGACCAGCACTTTTTAACTTATCGCAGTGAACTTCGAAAAGGTTTGAAAATTGGGATATTAACCAATTTGGAAATGTCAATGAAATTTGGGAATCATGGAAATCAATTGTTATTTTAGCTGCCGAAAAGGGGATTGGGATGAGATTAACATAAAACGTAAACCATGGTTTGATAAAGAGATTGATAATGCAATTAAGTGTAGGAAAAATGCTTCACAAATACACAGGAAGTATCTTAAAAGAAATGACAAAGATGAAGCAACTAGTGAATTTCTATTGAAAAATTATCTGAATAAGCGTACATATGCTAAATAAAACAAAAAATTAGTAAAAGAAGGGTTGATAAATCAATCACAATTGCAAATAAAGCTGGACCAAGTTGTAAGGATTTTTGGGAGGCTCTTAGAGGTCCAAAACATAAAGATCAAGCTGTCAATTGTATAAAATCACCCTTGTCAAATGAAATTATTTTTGAAAAAAATAAATTTAATCAAACAGTGAAACAATATTGGGAAACAATAGGAAGAAATGCATGTGAATATATCTGATTGCATATCATTTAATACCTATATATTTATTCAGAATATTCGTAATGATTTAACAGACACTACAACTAAGCCTACGGGTGGCATCAATCTTAACTTATTACAAGATATTGAATTAAGTATTAGATATTGCTTCACTTGCTCTGGCACAAGCCAAAACTAATAAGGCACCAGGCCAGGATGGTATCACAAATAAACCTTTGAAGAATGTTGGCGATTATTTGGAGTTATCCCTTTTGCATATGTTTCAACAAATTATGCAGCTGGAGGAAATTCCAACCAAATGGAATAAATCTATTATTATTCCTATATTTAAATAAGGCAGTAGATTAGACTTACATAATTACAGAGGAATATCCTTGGCCTTATGTCTATCTAGAATTTTCAACAGAATTATTACTTTTTCAGTAAATAATTTCTGGAAGAGTAAAATGCACTTTCGGAAGTGCAGGGAGCCTTTCGGTCTCAACATATGTAGATGTGAGGACCATATTTTCACTTTAAAAAGTATTGCTGCTTGCAGATCGACAGAGGCTAAAACTACCTACAGTATATGGCCTTCCTGGATGAAAGGCATTTGATAGTGTATGGACAGGTGGCCTATTGAAGGTAGTCTGGAATATTGGAATAAGAGGTAAAGCTTGAATACTCATTGATAAATTCTGTCAAAATGTTGAAGGCCAAGTACGGTTTGGGGATATTTCCATTGGTTCATTTTTAATTGAAAAAGGTACCAAACAGGGATGTACCCTATCCCCTACAATCTTTTCAATATTTATGAACTCAGAAAGGTTCTTGAATCAAACAATGTTGGGATTAAAATCAATGGCCAATGGACAGGTAGCCTTTTCTGGGTTGATGATATTAGCAGGGGATTTTTCTGATGATTGGAAAATCAATTTTAATTTCGAAAAATCAAAAGTCCTTATTTTTGGGAAAACTGATAAATTTAAACAATGTTCTCTTGCCAATCATTAATTATCAATACCTTGGAGTCTTGTCATTAAAAAAGGTAATAGGTTTACTCTCATATGTTAAATCAATCCCTTGATAATTTTGATAATTTCAATAGAGTTTATGGTAATATTCTATGGCAAACAATTGTCTTGCCATCGATTAATTATACTTGTTCTATTTGGAATTATGGGTCGAATTCAGATATGGAGAGGTTAGAACGAATTCAAATGCAGATGGCAAGATACATTTTAAAAGCACCAACTTATACACCGCAAGCGGCATTACTGTATATGGAGATTTAGGTTGGACGCCACTATCCTTATCCCACGATATATATCAAGAATGAAATATTTTGACCGCTTACTCACAGTGAATGATGAGCCATGGCCTAACTTAATGATAAGATCACTTACTTACTAATTTAAATTCAGACTCTACGAAATTGCATTACAAATGTATTAAGTGCGTAGAAAATTCTTTCCGTACCTCAGAAAATATTGACACTTTTTATAGTTCAAATTTTGATAATCCAAATTGGTTTGTGCCATTGAAACAAATCTTACTAGAAAATGGTAACAAAAGATGGTTAGAAGACCTTAATAATAAATCTTCTTTAACCCATTACACAAAGTTAAAATATAAACCTTGTCTTGAAAACTACTTACTTGACAAAACCAATTTTATAGGTGCTCGTCTTAAGTTTGAAACTCGTTCGTACACTCTGCTCTTGATTTTAAATTAAGTAAATGGACCGAAGATAATGGTAGTTTTTGTACCCTATGTAACCTCGGAAACATTGAAGACCTTATCCATTATTTATTTATCTGCCATGCATTGCATCCCATAAGGGAAGATCAATTAAATATACTTAAGAATGATTTAATTGCCTGTAATCAATGTGAGATTTTCTGCAGTTGCAATTATGAGGGCAAAGTTTTATTGTCCTTGAAGAGGGGGGAGACTATTTCTCTCGAATAAGCTGCACACTGAGGCCTCCAAACATTTTATAAGCGCCGCAGCACAC